TTTTTTTTTTTTTGGTGGAGCTGGGGATTGAACTCAAGCTCTTGTGCTTGCCAGGCAAGTGCTTATTCTACTGAGCCATCTCCCTGGCCCCCTTTTAAGAGTATTATATGAAAGAAATAATTACCTTACTCAGGAATGTATATACAAAGCATAATTTTACTTTAAGTAATTATAACAAATACAAGTTAGGATAATATGTATAACTATTTCTGCTCACTATATTTTTGGCAGGATATAAGAGAAAGAAGTCAAGAGTCTTTCTTCCATTTTAAGGGTGGACATAGAAATCTCAAGTTTAAATGGTTCCAAGTTTAAGATTTACTAGAATTAACAGAATAACTACAATTTTAAAAAATATTGTAGAGAAAAAACAATTCTAATATTTCAGTATTAGGATTATCAGAATTACATACCACAGGAATAACATTTCCAGCCATATCTGGAAACCGAACAGAACAGGAATGCAATGTTCGTACAAGAAGTTGTCTGTATTTGTCAGTGTCTTCATGCTCAGAAACATTATTCGTTTTAATCACTTCCTTCTTCAAGACAATAACTAGCTATAGGAAAAGTTAAAATAAGTGAGAATCATCACATTTGGCCTATTTATCAACTTTTATCAGAATTTTGTTTTACCTCTTCAACATTCCTAGAAGAGACAAGATCCAGAGCTAACTGCAGAGTTTTCTTGCGTACTTCTAAGTCTGGTGTGCTCAGTACTCTTAGGATGTCCATTACCAGATCCTGAAAAAGAACAAAAAAATTAAGGATTAGCACCAATCTTTAGGTCATAGGAAGAAAATCTTAACTGCAGAATGGCTGTTCTCTCCATCATCACCTTAACAATCCTTTGAGTAATAATAAAATTACTCATGGTAGAAAACTATATATTTTCTGTCTCGTGATATGCTGCAATATGAAGTAATAATATTACAGATGATGCATTTGAATGGACAATGTTTTACTGTGAGTCTATGGAACTGTCGACTCAACTTACAGAAACATAGAACCCAGAGGAGCAAGTTACTGACAGTGGAAGGGGACAGTCCGCCACATCCAAAGGAGAAGCATTTTAAAGGACAACTGCTCTGGTCTTTTCAACAAGCAGTGCTGTGAAAAAACTACTGTTCAAAATTAAGACACTTAAAGGTCCCAACAACCAGAATGACCTATCCTGAGCTGGACCAATGAACAAAAAGGACTCGTTACAACTGTGAAAATCTGAATTACGACTTCATACTGCAAAAAAGAAAAAGAAGGTACTTAAGGGGAATAATTAACAATTTTGTTAAGTGTATTACTATTTGAAAATAGCAAAATTTAAAAGATGCTTTTAAAAATCTATAATGAGTAAATACTTCAAAATATAGCAAAACTTACAAATTATTTTACTTTTGTAAAACAATTTTTTTCAAACAGATAAAAAACGTCAAAAACTAAGAGTACATTATGTACTATCACCTACATTACCAACTGTTAATCTTTTGCTTATTTGCTTTGCCACACTTTCTCTCTTCCTCAGCATTTTAGAGTGCATCTTCTAAGATAAGAATGATTTATTTATCTTTTTTCTTTTTGTAGGGCTAGGGATCAAACACAGGGCTATGCACACGATCGGCAAGCACTTGACCACTGAGGTACACCCTCAGGCCCACATAATTTCTTTCTCAGTCTTTTCTCTGTGTGAGAAGCAAGTGCATGACCTTGTGCCTGGCAGGCACTGTGTCGCTGAGCTATATCCCTGGTGCCACATAATTTCTTAAACGCATTATAATTAGTACATTCAGAGGCTACTGATTAATACTGAATTTTGTGGTACTGGGGACTGAACCTAAGGAGTGAGCTACATCCACAGTCTTGTATTTTTCAACTTTAATTTTGAGCTACAGTGTCACTAAGTTGCTAAATTTCCCAGCTTGGGCACATGTTTGCGATCCTCTTGACTCAGGCGTCCAGAGTACTAGGAATAAAGGAAAGTACCACCATGCCTGGTTATGGATCTTCATTTTCATAATCCTTACTCTTATTGCTAAACAGATAGGCTATTAATTTTTTAGAATCAATCGTTTATTCTTATTAGTGTGACTACTGTCCAAAAATGTATTACATTCAAATGAAAATAAATATATCACCATTGCTAAAAATACCAAGTGCATGGGGCTGGTGAGATGGCTCAGTGGTCTAAAGCACCTACTTAGAACAAGCTTAGCAAAGCACAGGGACCACAGTTCAATCCCCCAGCACCACACACCAGCCAGCCCCACCCCCTGGTGGGCTGAGCTGGCCACACACACACACACACACACACAAATAAAATTAAAAAAAAATACCAAGTGCAGTATAAATAGAAAAAAGATTACATTAATTCACTTTTGAAAGTTTTTCTTTTTGGCAAAGACAATACCCCAAAAGGGTACAATGATTCAGCAGTTGAGCTTCAGTTGACTAAACTTTAAAATGTTTCAAGTGAGCTAAGATGGCAAGGCTTGGGAATGAGTTGAATTTGAAAAGTATCTTACTTAAGTTCTCTTTCAGGCTACACTTACCTGGAGGACTCGTTCATGAGCAGGGTGCTCTTTCAATTCTACCAATCGATCCAGAACTATGAGCTTTACATTATTGTCACTTTCTTTTATGATTAAATCAATATAACACTGAGCAGCAGCCTATAAAAAGAAATACATTTTAATAAGTCATGAATGTAGAATCTCAAAAGAATAACAATGAAGTCACCAAGAAGCTAAAATATACTCATTAACCCTGCATTAGTTTATGTATTTTGTTAAAAAAAAAAATTGGGGACTGGGAGATGGCTCAGTGGAATAAGTACTTCTCTGACAAGCGCAAGGGCCTGAGTTCAATCCCTGGTTCCGCAAAAAAAAAAAAAAAAAAAAAAAACTTGACAAATTTTAACATTATTCAAGCTTCCAAAAACAAGAAGGATTACAAATTAAAATACATGCAAAAACATTTAGTAGCCAAAAATTAAAGGTTGAAACTAAGGAACAAAATAGA